TTATTCTCTTGCAAAATTAATTTTTTACTGAAAAATCATAATAAAATTCTTTTTAATTTTGTATACAAATTTTGACATAATCTTTATAATTTCTATTTGTATGTAATATTTTCTAAATCTATTTTTGAATATTAGATCTATATTATGTAAATATACAACTTAATATATTGATTATTAATTATTTTATTTTCTTATTGTAAAAACAAAGAGTTTTTCTTAATTAAATCTCTTTAAGACTAATTATATTTTATTTTTTTTTGTTATTACAGTTAAATCTCTCTATAGTCACATCTATTTATAGTCACATCTCTTTATATTTACCCTATTTTGCTTTCCTATTTACATATAAACATAGTAAAAAAAATCTCTCTATAATCACATTCTCTTTATAGTCATCAAATTTTGCTTTCCTGAGGGTAATGACTATAGAAGAATTTGTATTATTATATATATTATGTAAAGATTTTGTTTACTTTATTTTTTACTTTGTTTGATCATTTGGAAGACTTTATAATTTTTATTTTTCTTTAAAGAAGTTATTATTTAATAAAAAAGTATTTTTAAATTTTACTTATCAATCACGTGATTTTGTTTACATATGATTTCATTGATTAGTAATTAATAATATGACTAATGTTATGTGATTTGTAATTTTAATTGAAATTTTATAGCATGATATTTATAATATTTTAGATATCAAATTTAAACTTTTTGATAATTCTAAATTTTAATTAATTAATTATAACATGTGATATGTGATTTTATATGACTTTTAATAATGTTATCATATTTTGTAATTATTATATAGTGCAAATAATCTAAAGACATTAAAATGTTGAAAATTTTACAGATTATTTATTATAATATTAAATATAATTAGTCAAATTTTATTATTTTTTATATTAAAAAAAAATTTTTATAAAAAATTATTATTTTTTTTATATTAATGCTAAAATTTTTTAAACTATATATTATATTTTTTTGATAAAAAATTTTAAAACAAAATACATATTTTAATAATACTTACTAAAAGTTATTAAAGTATATATTCTTTTTTATATTTAAGATTCATATAAGAAAGTAATAATATTTTAAAAAATTACTTAAATAATTTGATGTTTTTAGACTTTTTGCATCATAGTTGTTTTCTTTATTTATTTACTTTTTTTGATAATAACTTTTTTTTTGTTGATAATAAGAAATAAAAAATTCCATTTTATCCACAGAGGGAGCACCAAAAAGTTGTTATTATATTTTATGAATTCTTGAGAGAACTGGAGAGTGCTTAATAATATTATAATAAGTTACTTGATCAAGATAATTATAGTAAATTTTATTAAGAATTATGAGTGAAAGAATATAATATAATCAAATTTATATAATGCAGCAAGCATTAAATTATAATTATAATAAATCTAAAGAGAGATAACAATATATTCATAATGTGATCAGCTAAAATAAGATCTGGAATTTTTAATAATAGTATTTAATTAAAGAATTTTATGTAATAAATATGTAATTTCATTATAAGATCATAATTTAATAATAAAAAAATATAATTTTATTATTAAATAAATTTATTATTAATTTATTATATATTTTAATTGTTATTTATTATTCTTGAGATCCTGAGAGCTATTGAATCTATTTAAATTACTAGCTAAGATACATTGCTTTTATAATATTTGATGATTTTACGAATATTACTTTTATTATAATAATATTGTTATTTTTGCTAAAATCTAATTACTTTGTTTTGCTAGTATTCTATTGCTATTTTTGCTATGATCATATTGCTAGTTTAGTTATAATTATATTGCTTATTTAACTATCTAAAAATATTTACAAATAATATTTTATATAGCTAATATTCAATAAAATTAACTAATAGAATATAATAGAATCTTATTTAATTAAATTTATGATATAAATTAATCAATAAAATAAGAACTAAATATTCATATCATAACAATATAAAGAATTTGTACTATTTATAATACTCTTTTTTATAAAAACTTTGTTATTTAATTTAATCTCAAAGCAAATAATTTAATAATAAGAGTTTTTAAAGAGTTATATTGTAATTCTTGATTTATTTATTTTTGCAGAAAAAATAATTGTTTTATTTAAAAGTTGAGATTAAATTAAATGGCAAAGTTTTTATAGTTTTACATTATGCCAAAATTTGTATTTTTAGAGTTTTTACAGAGTTTGAATTGGTATAACCAAAAAATTAGCATTAATTAGCATATTTACTAATTGTTATTAATTTGGTATTTATTAAATTTATCAATAATACATAATAATATATTTATAGCAGGCTCCGAGTACTTAATTTATATAATATTTTAAACAAACTTATTATAAAAGAACTTTATTATATTTTAAAATTTTTAATCTAATTATTCACATAAATAATCTTTAATTAATATATATAAAAAAATCAATTTTCAGTAATATGTCATTCTGAGTATTTTAATGCATAAATAATTTGGTATATATTAATTCATGTATAATAATTATTTTTTTAAAGGTTTTATAAACATATAACTAATGTCTATATATTTACCTGGCGTGTTAAGTAAGCTTTTCCTTTCTGGAATATTATCAAAAAGATACCTGGAGTGAGCCAAAAGTCTATTCACGATTTAACAAATCAAATTTGCATTTATTGGCACTCCAAGTACCCCCAAAAATATATAAAAAAGACCAATTTTTTTTACTAGTGAGACTAGGCCTGGTTGGACTAAGTTCTAGGACTTATTAGACATGAACCTGGTTTGCAGGTTCACCTGATAGGACTTGCAGGTTATAGGACCAGAACTGGACCAAGCGTAACTTTATCAACCTTAAATATATTTCCAGAGTGAAGATCACGATGCAAAAACTCACATCGTGTATTTACGCAGTCCATCGATAATGTCAATTAAATGTTTTTTAATTTCGAAAACTTAATTAGAAATTGATTATTTCTACCTCGTTTTTGAATCACGTGATTTCAGCACAACAGTGTTCTTGATGTCGTTTATATTTACTTTCTTCATAATCCCAATTAAAGATTGATGACCAAGTTGCTTATATAACCACAAAACTTCCTTTTGCAAGATGTTCAATATTGGTAAATTTTTCAGAAGGGATCCATTCGAAAAAATCTTTTAATTTTCGTTCATTCTTTTATTAGACTGTCGATATCTTAATTTTCGCTAGACCACTCAGCTTTATATGATAATTAGAACATTCATCGCAGTAATCATCATATCGACAATAGTATTCTAGTATTCGAGGAAAATTTTAGATTCCATAATTTTTATAGATCTGTATTCGTAACGACGTCGGCAGTCAGACCTTTATATATATAACGATATGGCCGGGGTTAGTAAAGATTGTTATATCGATAACATCGTTATACCGAAGAGAATTTTATTAGAAGTGTTTGGTTACCATCGTTATAACGGAGGAGTATCGGTATATCGAGGTTTGGGTTGCCATCATTATAACGGAGCGTATCGGTATATCGAGGTTTGACTGTTCACCAGTACAGTGCTATTGATTTGTCTAGTTTTGGGAGAAAAATTTCTCGGCCCAGTGATTTCTGACAAATCAAATCGCAAGATAAATGTGTAACGCAAAAATGCATATTTTTTGTTATGTACTTTAAAATAAGTGTCACATAACGATAATCCTAATCCTGATCTTAACCCAAACCCTAACTAGAACTTTTCATATCTTGCGATTTGATTGGTGATTAACGTAGCTATTACATGTAATAGTTTTTTATCCAATAAATCACTGGTACTTTACGATTTTGTCGGAAAAAATCGCAAGTTTGTCCAAGTAGATTAAAAAAAATAGTGAATACGTACCCATCTTCATTTTTCATTGGCAAAAATTTCAAAAATTGATGATCCATTACTATATACGTATTCATTTCACATGCGCCGTAATGGATTTAGTTAGATTTTTATATCAGGTAATCGATTATTGTTTTCTCGCCGATCCCACCAAACTGAAAAATATATAAATCGAAAAATTAATTACGTATCGGGATCATTATTTCTTGGATTTATTGGATGCTACGATATTGGTATTTGTTATTAATTATTAGCGATAATAATTGTGAATCTACTCAACAGTTTGTATAAAGGACAAAAGCGAAAGCCCATCTCTCTAATCAAAGGTTCTACTTTGATGAAGCCGAAATTCGCCCGAGTATACAGTAAAACTTGATAAACCGGAGTGGTCAGTCAATTAGAGCTAAAATTCCTAAAGTCAGGTTATCGAGATTTAATTAGACTATTTTACACTTCCGCTTTGTCGAGAGTCCGATTTATCGAAACTCACTGTGTGCATAGATAATCACTGGGCCACTAAATATCAGTGTATTGTCGCTAAGTGGGGCAAATATTGCAGAGGAAACTTTCTCAGAGACCACAATCCGAACCCGCGTTCTCGAAGGAGAATTTTTCAAACATTTATTCTCGTTAGGATGTCACCGGTGTGAAAGCTTGTGGCGTTAAAGAATGTGATTGCTACATGTATTGCGCAGCTATTCTTAACACAGACACAAAAATTTTAGTCAGGTTCGGTATAGGGTGAACTGATCGTGCGCCCTTATGCCAGCATTCCGGAAGAGTTGGAACGCCATTTCATCCGAAAATAAAGTCAGTTCTTTTGTAAGCATAGAGGTTGCCCTTGACAGGCCTTTTCAATATCCGATTTCGGCAAAATGCTTGGAATAGAGACTTCTACACCCGTTTTGACAATGTTCTTGTTAAGATTCGTGTTGAAAGGGAAGCTTCTACGAATACATTATTGAGGTGTCTCCAGTAATCTTTTTTCGGCCGACCGTTTCCACCGTTTTTTTTTCTCGCTAGCATTGCTTTTCAGCCTTAATAAATAAGCTTCATGAATTTGATATGTCACAAATCGGATAATTGAACGCATCTGACGCGTTTTTGTCGTACGCTCACCATTTATTAATAGCTAAGTTTCAGATCGGGATGGCTGAACAAAGAAGGTATTCCGTGAAAAAGTCTGAATCGTATGATTGTGATGCCTCAGATAGGGAATTCCGTGAAAAAAGCGTCTTTATATGTGTAACGAGGATTTTTCGTCTTTTTTGGTTTCATGTGCGTGCTGGCTGTATAGAGAATAGCGAACATTGTGTATTTACAATCAATGAAGATATTACCTTGAAAAGTTAGAATAGTGAGACGCTTGCTCCATGATAATAGAATAACAACATTATAACGATAAAGGGTATAAAATAAATGAAGTGGTTTTGGCTTTGATTATGATAATAAACTATCTTTATTATTTACATAGACAATATTTATATGATGAAGATGGTCAGGCTATTAGTGGAATGTTTGTTATATAAGATTTATTATAATTTTTAACAAAGTGCAAGCAAGGTTCTTTTTTGTTTTTTAATCTAAACAGAGTTTTCAAGATAGATTCAGACTGCTCTAATTGTAACTTAAATGAATGTGAATAGATTATTATGGAATAACAATAACAGCTACGATAAATCATTAATTCCAAATACTATTTATACAACAATAATACTATCTTTCACAAAGAATCGTGATTTTTATTAATAATATTAATGAATGTATTTTGGACTTACCAACCCAACAGATCTGATCAAGAAACTTACTTCTTTTATATCGATATTATTTCAGATCATGTACGAGACTGTAACGAGCGAACGAAAGTAGTCATGATATACACCTTGTATGCGACATCTATGAAGGAGTACAACCTATGATACCAAACAATATCGCTGGATGGTGCAAATTTATTATTAAATGTTGGGATCCTATTCCAGAAAATAAACCAACTGCTTTTCAACTTTACAATTTTATCGACTCTATCCGCTATATCGAGGATATCGATGAAGAATATTTTGCATTTTCAGTACTATAGCTCTTTATAATATTCTAAAACACAGGAAGGAATTGAAGAGTGTCTTGAACTAGAAAGACAAAAATGGAAAGAACTTGATGAGGAAATGAGATGCAATTTGCCGAATCTATACAGTACGTATACAGTACTACAAAACTACATGTATTTCGAAATACATGAACTGTATAAATCATTGACATTTCATATTAATTAAAAGTACATGTATATCGAATGCCTAGGCTCTACGAAGGACAAATTTATCCTAGACCTGGGTCTTTATCCTAATTAATAACACATGATTTGTTATTATATAATAAAAGGATAAGGTTTTAGACTCCAGATATAGAATAAGATTACTCTTAAAAAATACAGTATCAGCAAATTAATATACTTGTTCGCATACAGATCTATGTGGAAAGTTATTAGCTATGCCACGGCTGTGCAGAGTAATGACTATTTATTTTTATTTTATAATGTCATGAAGGACGCCGAAAGTTAACCATTCAAGTGTAAGTTTTTTTGTTAATAACGAGTCTCAACCTCGTATATTATTCAACATAAATTAGATTTCAAAGATGTCTTATTGAAAATGTATCGGAAGAAATTATTGATTCAAAACAATTGTGACGACTTCAGAGTATTGTTTTTTTAGTATCGTTATCAGATATCGAAGAAACACTGATATCTCGCATAGTTTCAAGTGCCTGAACAACTTTAATAGGTTGTTTTTCTGCGACGTCGTTGGACACATAACTTTGACACTATGCAGTTTGTGCATAAAATTATTTGTTATCATACAATTGGCATTATGCGACAATAAAAATTCCCTTAAAAAGAACAGGCTTGTTTATTTATCAAGGTGTTCGTTCGTATCGCCAGATCTTGAATTTGAACTCAGCCCTGTTTCGGCTGTTGCGTGTGGGTGTGTAGTTTATGTTACAAATATATTTATTCAAATCAGATAATTGTAAGCAAATTCTTATAAGAAGCAGTCTTATTGTTTTTATGCTCAAGTCAAACTTTTGTTTGATGAAATTACTTTCAAACTTTTGTTTGATGAAATTACTCTCAAACTTTTATTTGATGAAATTACTCTCAAAATTCTAGTTGATGAAATTACTCTCAAAATTCTATTTGATGAAATTACTCTCAAAATTCTATTTGATGAAATTACTCTCAAAATTCTATTTGATAAAATTAATCTCTCAAAATTTTATTGGATAAAATTAATTTCAAGATTTTATGTATTCATAAAATTTATTTGCAAATTCAAAAATAAAAATGTTTTTAAACAATAACTTTTCTTTGCAAACTCTCACACTTACAATAAATATAAGAGCTTAAATAACCTATTTTACTCTTCTAAGTCTTTCAAAATCTTTCTTTTAGAAATTTAAGCTTTGCTTTTGATTTTAAAATCAATGTCAAATAAAATGAACATTATATTGTTTTTAATGAGTATAATCCAATTTTAGTAAACTATAATATAGAAATTTATTAATAAAAATAAGTCTTTAATATTTATTATTTAAATTTTGAGAATAAACTTATAATTTATAAAATATAAAATATAAACTATAATATTTATATTTATTTATTATATTAATAATTTATTTTTTATTATTATTAATATATTAAAATTCAGTACAAATTAATAAAAATTTATTTTAATATTTTAAAATATATATTTGTTAAATTAATTAATTTAATAAATTATTTGATAGTTTATAAATCAATTAATAATAATTATTTATATTTAATAAATAATTAAAAATTTGAATTTGAATTAGAATTATTTGACAAATAAAATATATTTATAATAAAATTTTACAAGAAATATTTTTTATTAAAATACAAAAGATAATTTTATAGACTAAATTTTAAAATACAAGCTTTTTTTCTTTGTTTTATTTATTTTTGAATTTTTATATTATATATTAATTTTGTAATTAATTGGTCTTATTACTAATATTATTAAAAATTATATAATTTGAATTTTTAGAAATTACTCTGTAAATTTTTTAATTTGAAAAGATTTTTTTAATTGTAAAATTAATTAATTTTTATAATTAAAAATATTTTAATATAAAAACAAAAAATATTTACTAATAAAAATAATTTTTTATTATAAAGAAATAATTTTAATTTTATTATATTATTTTTGAATTTTTGGTAATTTATTATAAATATATATATTGTAATAATTAATAATATAATAAGATTTTTTATTTAAATTTATTAATTATATATAAATAAATATATTTGTAATAATTATATTTTTATCAATAATTAGAATTAAGATTCTGAATATATAATTAATTAATATTATTATAATTAGATTAATTTTTAATATATTATCTATATTTATATAATAAATTTTTGAAATTCAAAAATAAATATTTTTGTTTTTATATTTAGAATTTGTATTTAATATATATTATTTTATAAATTTTTTAAATTTAATTTCAAGAAATATTTCTAATTATAAAGTTAATTATATAAATTTTTTATAAATAAAATTAAAATTTAATTATAATTTTTATAGATTTTTTAAATTTAAATTTATAAATATTTTTAATTATATAAACTTTTTATACTTATTAAATTTTATTATAAAAATAAAATTTAAAAATTATAAATTATATTAATAATATAAAAAATTATTAATTTGAATTAAAATTTAAAATAAAATAAAAATAAGATTATTTTAATCTAAAAATTTGCAAGAAGTATTTTTTATTAATATATAAAAAGCAATTTTATAAGTAAAATTTTAAAATTCAAATTATTTTCAAAATTTTGTTTTTGTTTTATTTTATTTTAAATTTTTTATTACATATTAATTCTGCAATTTAATTAGTTAAATTTTTTTAATTGTATAATTTAATTAATTAATTTAATACTAGTATTTAATAATAATAATATAATTTAATAATATCAAATAAGTTATAATATATTACAATTTTTTAAAATCTGATAATTAATAACAAAAATTATTAATTTTTCTTAAAATTACTGATTTTTTTAAAAATAAAATACAAAATATTTTATAGTATAATTAAATTTTTCTATAGTTATACCCATTTATAATTATATTCTTTTTATTTTGCTTTTCCATTTATATATAAATATAGTAAAAAAATCTCTCTATAGTCACATTCTCTCTATAATTACCAAATTTTACTTTTTTAAGAGTAATTATTATAGAGAGGTTTGACTATATATAGTCAAATTTTTTTATAATCATACTACTCTATAATCATCTAATTTTGCTTTTTTATTTATATATTATTATTATAGTTTATAAATTCTTGACAGAACTAAAAGTACTTAATAATATTATAATAAAATACTTGATTAAAGTAATTATAGTAAAGTTTATTAAAAATTATAAGTGAAAAAGTATAATATAATTAAATCTATATAATACATCAAGTATTAAACTATAATTATAATAAATTCAAAGAAAAATAATAATGTATTCATAATGTGATTAGCTAAAATAAAATTTGAAATTTTTAATGATAATATTTAATTAAAGAATTTTATATAATAAATATGTAATTTTATTATAAGATTATAATTTAATAATAATAAAATATAATTTTATTATTAGATAAATTTATTATTAATTTATTATATGTTTTTAATTATTATTTATTATTTTTGAAATTTTGAGAACTATGAAATCTATTTAAATTACCAGCTAAAATATATTACTTATATATATACATTAATAATTTTATAAATACTACTTTAACTATAATATTATTATTACTTTTGCTATAATCTAATTACTTGTTTTACTAATATTATATTATTATTTTTATTATAATTATATTGTTAATTTAGCTATAAGTATTTTGCTAACTTTGTTATAATTATATTATTTATTTAATTATTTAAAAATATTTATAAATAATATTTTATATAACTAATATTCAATAAAATATAAATATAAAATTAATTAATAAAATATTATTTAATTAAATTTATAATATGAATTGATTAATCAAATAAAAACTAAATATTTATATTATAATAATATAAATATAATAAAAAAAATCTTTCTATACAGTCAAATTTCTCTATAGTTATAAACTAAATTCTTTAGAAAATATTAGAAAATATATTAAAAATTAGAATTCTGAAAACAATTTAATTTAATTTGAGTTTGATTTAATTTGAATCAGATTTTAATATAATTAAAAATCTAGCTCAAAAATTTGAGTTCAATTAAAAATTTGATTTGAATTTGATTTGAATTTTAAATCAAATATTTGATAAACTTTTAAAT